CCCGGCCGCACGAGCTATGAGCCGCAAGCGCACCGCAGCTGCAAAGCGCGCCCGCGAGCCTGCAACGGTACTGGAGAAAAGAAAGCGCGCCCTTCCTGGTCACCATTCACTGCATGGCGCACCGGACGGACCTCGCAGCGGAAGCGCTCAACGTGGCAGCCATCATTGAGCGCATAGTCCAGCTGCTCACCAACGTGCACAGCCACTTCTCGCGCAGCTCGAAGCGCATAACTGCGCTCAAGCGGGTGGCGTCAGAGGCTGGCACTCGCGGCAACCGCATGCTGAAGAACGTGGAGCCAAGGTGGGTAATGTGATCGGGAAGGTTCGCGGGTTTTGCTAGTACTTTTGCCTGGCATGTTTGACTGCTTAGCTTACTGCTTGGCTTGCCTAAGCCAGGATGGATACCAAGACCTATACCTTGCAAGTCTGTGCATTTACAAATTGCTACATTTGTCCGACTCTACAGGTGGATTAGCATCTATCGGCCGCTATGCCGTGTGCTCGATGAGAGCGCTGCGCTGACGGCTTATTTCGACCCGGAGCGTGAGCGCCCTGCGGGAGAGGACGACCCTGACGCCAGGGCCAGCACCATCTACGCCAAGCTCACTGATTGTTGTATCCTGTAAAGGTTTTCCGCAACGGTTTGGGCGCCGAAACTTAACTGTCGGTGGTTAGCTCGTCCACTCCGATTTACCAAACTCCAATATTACTAACTAACACCCGTCAATTCCGCGGTTGGTGCTTACAGGTATTAACTAATACTGATATTAGTTTAATTGCGGCTACTGTTAGCTGCGGCGGCTAAGCGACTACTGTTAGTCGTCCGCCATCTAAATGCCGCACTGTTGCGGAAGTCCATGGGCGCCGGCGGATCCAACGACTACTGTTAGTCGTCCGCCATTCAAGTGCCGCACTGTTGCGGAAGTGCATGGGCGACGGCGGCTAAGCGACTACTGTTAGTCGTCTGCCATCCAAATGCCGCACTGTTGCGGAAGTCCATAGGCGCCGGCGGATAACACGACTACTGTTAGTCGTCCGCCATTCAAGTGCCGCACTGTTGCGGAAGTGTATGGGCGACGGCGGCTAAGCGACTACTGTTAGTCGTCCGCCACCTTAATGCCGCACCACTGCGGAAGTCCATACCTGCGTATGGGCGGGGGTTTTACTTACGTAAAGCTGGGACCTGCGTCCCAGTTTCGTCTGACCGAGCGAGAGTAGTTCCTGCGAACTATGGCTTCTGGATACGGCGCCGCCCAGTCGTACTGGGAATCCTTATCGGCGCGAGGCCCAAGTGGAGTCACTGATGACTACTTATTCAAGACACTTGTCTCAATCGGTATCTTTCG